GGCCTGAGCCGGAGGCTCTTAAATTCAAGGGTGAAAAAGCTTCGCGGATGGAACCTTAAACCCTGTAATGTAGGGGCCTAAGTAGTTATCAATATTATTCTGGAGGTTTCTTACCATAATTATACTATAATGGGCCCCAAAACCCTATTCTAGTTACAAAGGCCCCTACATTAGGGTTGGGGTTTGTTTGAAGGCTGTTGAAGATTTCGGCTTAGGGGCTGTGGTTTTAGGGTTTTGGAGGTCTGAACAATTGCTCAGAATTTGCCCTGATAGCTCCTACATAATTATATAAGCATAAAGGCTTTTGCCACCAAACAATCTAGGACATTTTCAGGTGGGTAGTTACGGTTATAGGAGCCTTATAGAAGTATATACCTTGTAGAAGCCTTATATACCCTAAACTCCCCACCTGTGGTTTCCCTCCCTTCGAAGCCGATTTTCTTGTTTAGCTTCGATGCCTCCGCACCGGTAAGGGGCACAGCAGTTTCCAGAGTCTCTTTACAGCAGCATGGACATGTCCCGGGCGTGCAAGGGAACTTGCGCACGATTCCGTGCTCGCAAAGCTGTTCGTGCTCGTGGAAGCTCGCGGAGGGCAGGTCAAGACCCAAAGCACAGCATTCCACGTGCATGCTTTGCAGCGCAGCTGCGAAGGTACGTGGCAGCGCTTGGCCCTTGTGCCAACAAAACCGATCCTGGACAGCGGCCTCCACACAGCCGGTCCAAAGCTTCACCAATCTGGCCTTACAGGGATCCGGAGTCAAGGTTGCTTCGCGGGGCCTACGTCCAGCTGCGGCATGCTTCCAAGGTCCCTGCTGTGTGTGCTGGTGTTGCTGGGGGATCAGGACGTAAAGTAGTTGTGAACAGACGTTCGAAAGTGAGCGAAGTTGGACCGGACCGGAGCAGACCTGCAGGGCTCCCAGCAGCAGCTGCCCAGTTTTAAACACAGATCTCAGATCGCCTCGAGCCCCAAAGCAGCTCAGGACCCGGCCCGGTATTCGCCGACCAACTGCCAGATTTCGCTGTGAAGGAGCAAAGGCTCGCGCCTATCGACGAGTTGATTTGGAGCGTGCACGGTTGGAGTTGGGCTTGACAGGGCTCCTGTCACCTGATTCGAAAAACTCCAAAGCAAAACTTACGTAAAAGATGAAGGACGCCAAAGTCCAACCATGATTTTGTTGACAGGGCAGTGCTACATATGTTCTAAGGCAACGGCTAACCGATTAGTAGCCGACATGGTAATGCGCTCGGTTTCAGGCTCACAGCAACATGTTATGCAATCGGCATCTCATCTGCATGGTGTAAAGTTTGAAGTGCACGCAGTCTCATTTGATGGTACTTGATGGTATGGTGCCACCCGAAATTCACTCAGGCATCGCTATATTGCCTAGGGCCTCCGCCTTGTCGAATTGTGAATTCTTATGTGGCCTGTGGTCCAAGTCTACAGTGAACACAAATCTCGTGGATCAAGTGCTCCGCAGTGTCCTGCATCCCCGGCCGTGGCCCCGTCCTGCCCCTCCTCGCCTCTGCAACTCTGCAAGCTGGATTCCACAGCTGTCCCTCAGCCAAGACATGGCCGCCGCCTGCGACCAGAAAAGTCACTTGGCTTCCGAGAAAGCCCTGACCTGGCACCTGCAGCGGCGGCAAAGCGAGAGAGAGAACCCGTGCCTCTGCGTGCGCCACGCCTTGGAGAGCTTTAGTTTTTTCCGGCCGAGCGCAGCGCTCGGTGTTTACTACAAGCTTCTCTTCGCTTCACACACTTTCTTGGATACCACCGCTTAACGTCTCGGAGCAAGTTGCTGATGTCTTCTTCTTCCCTGACAAAAAATCGCTCAAACCCTTCACAAAGCACGGCCCAAAAACCTGACCTAATTCATGCCCCTGAACAAACCCCCTCAAAGAAGCCAACCTAGACCGAACGAAGCATATCCGTTTTGGATAAGAACTCTTCTGACCCTCTCGAACAGAAGAAACTCTCTCAGTCTAACAGCCTACAGAGACAGTCTCTAAAACAGAACCCCAAACTAAACCTCAACCCAAACCCATAAATCCGTGCACACACCCATGTGCAAGCCCTGACCATAGAACAGATCGCGCTGCTTCGCTACATTCGACCATTTTCGCACCGATTGTATCATTCAGATTTTGTCGCCGCCATCATGCATGCGTATGTGAGCACCTACCTGAAAAAAAAAAATCGGTGTGCAGAACGCTCGTCTTCACATCTCGGGCTCAGGCGTTGCGCTGGCAATCGCGAGTGTGAGAGCAGCCCGTGGACGTTGTACGAGCCTCGTCGGGTCCCCGGAGAACCAGCAGAGGACGCCGGATCCAGCGCCCCGAACCCGACCCTTCCGCATGTCGAGCTGCTGAACTCCTCTCCGCTCAGCTTGAGAATCCGGAGCCTGGGTCGGGCACAAATACACAGGACTCTGTTGAAGAGTATGAGGCTATGGTGCAGATCTTGCAAGATAGCTTCTGATTCTGCACGAACACCACTCTGGTCGAACAACGGCTGTACTGCATGGGGTCCTGCTGTGAATCTTGTTTCAGCAAGGATTCGCAAGCCCAGCGTGCTGACGGAAGTAGTGCATCATGCGCTCAGCCATTGATCTCACATTCAATATACTTCAAAACAGTCTTGCCAACCATGCGATGAAGGCAGCACCGGCATGTTGAGGCTTGCGCGCATTGACGCCCTCGACATCACCTGGTACGCACAGTGCAGCACGGAGTCGGAGTAGATATTTCTACTGAGCAGGCGATTGAGAGGAACCTCCAGTTCTCTATGAATCGAGCCCTTCGGTGTTTCCGGCCTGTCGGAAGTGCCTGTATCTTGTTCGAACACAGCAAGGTCTCCAAATTTACCAACTCTTTCCTCGGCGAACAATCGAAAGATTCGTGAAGTGACAGTGTCAGTTTTGGAAGGACTCAACTTCGTAAGTCGCACTTCTATGCCAGTCCGGCACTGCAATCGGAACCCTCGAATCCTCAACTAAAATGCAAAACCACGCCGGGCCACGAACCTCCTGGTCGGATTTTCAAGTTGTTCGCCCTGACGTGGCTCACATGGGTCTTGACACTCGGCCAGGCTGAGAATGTGACTCGTAGAGCCGACAGATTGTGTAGCCGAAGCGGACCATCCGCACTTTAAATTCAGATTCAGATTAGGCTTCAGGCCCGAAGCACGCAAACCTACACTGGTCATTCGGTACAAAAAGACCTCACATCCGAGATTCGCTGGTCATTGTCTGTCCTGGAACCCTTGGTCCTTGGCTTGCTGTGCTGCAACACAGAAGGCAAGCATCTGCGCTGGCAGATCGGCGGCCTCGCCGTTTGCAGCATCTGATCTTTGAGATGCGAGTGCCTGCGAATGGACGAGCACCCCTTCATTCAACATCAAAGATGGAAGAGAATCCACAGATCAGAATGCACCAATGCACCTGCTGGTCTCCTGATCTTTGCCGACAGTGGAGTAGGTATCGAGGTCATGTGAGTCCAAAACACGATTTCAACAATCGGTGGTGGTGAACACAAGAACTTCGAACTAAGGAGGGGCGGAAATGCATGACTTCTGGAGCCACTGCTCCTGCGTCTCTGATCTGGGCTCTGCGCGGTCCGACGTCTCGGGGAAAGGGAAGTTCAGCAAAGCTGCCAGCAGGATCCTGCAAGCTTCTCTGTTCTACTTTGTTGGCGCATCTTCAGCTTCGCACGCGACCACGAACCTGCGACTCAAGAACACGAGACCACTTTCTGCAGGGATCTGGCAATACAGAGGTGAAGAGGTCTTGTAGAGGAAGCACAGGGGTCGAGCCAATGTGGTGCAGAGGCCTGAAAACCTGCCCATTTTGCCGCGCCGTTTCCCAGTACTAGGCTCAATCAGGGATCCATCTCACTGGTCGCCGCCAACCTGTGTCAGTGAATGTGTCTCACAATAAAGCACCACCAAGCCGGAAGCTTGGTTCATGCTGGTCTGCGAAGTTCGGGGAAGCTGGATGACCCAGATGCAAGGCTGGCTCACACGAGTCCGTACACGGTTGTGGCACACAGGGGGATCGCTGTGAGGTGCCGGACACGCTTCTCCGGTGTGCCTACGGTTGGCTTGCCAGCACCGAGACTGTGAAAAGTGAAGGCTAATGCCACAATCCCTCACGGCAAGCTGATTGCACTGTCGAGGTCATGGACATTCACACGTACAGTTCTGTTCAAGCATTCTGCAACATGCCCTCATGCCCTCATTCAAGATTGCAGCATTGCTAATTGGCCCCCACAAGCACGGATGAAGGCGAAGTGTTGAAAACGAGCCAGGCTGTTGTGCCAGAACTTGCTCAAAGGCACAAAGCCAGGTGGAGGACTTTGCGCACAACAGCGGGCCTTGTCATCGTAAGCCCCAAACACGCCGAAATCAAATTCGCATTAAGGGAGACACGACGGAAGGCAATGTTGACATACCAGTAGCCTTCAGCCGGAGCTTCGCGAACTGCTTTCGTGTGAACTTCTTGGGCTTCACCTCCTTGCACGGCAGGCTATCGGGATATGTGGGAAACGTGAAGTTCAGTTTAGGACGTCTGGGCCCGTGTCCGGGGATGGCAGCCCTTCAGCCTCAAGCCTCGAACATTTCCATCCTCAGGTTGCCGTTGCCACTCTCCAGGGGGTGGAGGTCAGGGAACGCGTCTTTCCTAGCTAGCCGCTTCAACAAGTCCTGCACAAGCACCTGCCGCCATCATCGCGGATTTTCGAAATCAGTCCACACAGGTCGCCTCGTCTGCCTTCTCCACGCCATCCAGAGGCTCAGACAAGATCAGCTCCACGTGGCACGGGCAATTCCTTAGTGCAAACAGCCCGTATATGTGATAGCAGATAGCTTGGCGCCAGTCCAAACTCTGGCCACAGCTTCAGTGATCGAACGTCCCAGATCGAATTAAACGATGTCACCCCTCCACCCCTCCCTAATGCACTGATCCCTCCCTGCCAGGCATTCATCATGCTGCGTACTCAACGCGCTCGGCCCTGTGCATGTAGGGCCCGATACGACCGTGCGCGCGATAGGTTCGGCGGCGGCCCTGCTGCGCTGCATTCACCTAGACTGGCGCCACAGTCGTCCCAAGACTTACCAGTAAATATCTAGAACCTAGAATTTGTCACAGAATGTCTGATCTGTCAACGCTAAGCGGTATCTTGCCCAAACTCCAAAATGTCGTGGGAAAGTACGAAGCCTGAGCCCGAATCGCCAACAGGTTAGCGTCGGGATCTGTAGGGGTGAGAGATAGCCTGGTTGAGCCCGATCGACACAGCATCTCTCAGCCGCATCCCGCGTGGATGATGACTTTGTTCGGCCATATCTTGCTTCGCCGTGTGAGTGCATGCATGTTTTTGTGTGTGTGTGTGTGTGTGTGTGTGTGTGTGTGCGTGTGTGTGTGTGTGTGTGTGTGTCTGCCTGAAAGTCACAAATCCATGCTGCGCCTCAACCTTGGCGAGAATACGCAAGAGTCTGACGATGTGCGAAGTCTAAACATCAGCCCCTTGTTGGTGAGGACCTGGACATGCTCCACGACCAATTTCTCCGTCTCCAGGTTCTTGAACTCCGCATTTGCCTCGGCATTCCTGCGCTGCAGTCAAGCGAAGTTCCAGTACCCAGTCTTCTTCGTGGCCACGTGTCCCCCACCCTCGCCTAAGCAGCCCAAGGACGATCTTGGCCGACTTGACCGGCCATCGGCCCTGTGCCAAGTCAGAACGTTCAACGCATGCTTTAGCTCTTCCGTCGTGCTGTTCTGATACGAAACACTTCATTGCAAGATCCGATATGTGACATGGTAGGCAGGGGAACTACCTGCACTGCTCGTGCAAGATCGCGCAAGAATGTCTGCAGTGTGAAAGAAGATCCAATGCTGCACCTCATCCGGCTCAAATCTGCCCAAATACTCCACCAACGTATTGCTGCCTGGGTCATCTTGAACTCCTTGGCCTGTGGAGTTCGACCTCATGCTGTCGGCTGAGGTGCAGTCCAACGGTTTGGAGGGCAGGATACTGGTAGCACTGACACGTCCTCCCGCTCCCAACTCTCTGCTCGCCAGGTGGCCAATACATCCAGTGTACTTTCGGAACGGGATGCACCTCAGGAGCCGTCGGAAGCACCAAAAGCGGCAAAGCGGCTTCCGACCTTCAGCGGGACCCGCGCCTCTTCTTCTCACAGACGTCCAGCAAGTACTGCTTGGCATTCGTCAACGTCATGCCCTTGATCGCCTGCCAAGGGGCGAGGCTCGGCTTGGGGAGGAGGAGCTTCTCCGACTTGGACCGGCGCGGATCCCCCGGAATCTCAGAGCCCTCTCTTCCATGTCCCGGCCTGTGCAGTCTCGTAGGTGTTCTTGTAATGCCTGCAATGGAAAGCGACAAACCCGCACGTCCACCCGTCACTTCGCCTCCTGTGCTCTGCTGGTCCTATGCTCCAACACATAAAGAAGCCTGTCCAGAGAAGCTTGGAGCGCTCGCTAGGGGCTGACAGTGGAAATTCTTGGTGCAGAAACCTCTTTGATAGAACTGTCGATGCGATCTTCAAGTGCGATTTTCACGGGCATGGGAGGGTCAAAGGCTGCAGCCGAGTGTCACCCGGAGGTCGACACCCTGCGCCTTGCAGGCCTGACAGGCAGAGCAGCAAGGGACTTCCGGAGAGAGACGGGGGGCACCAGGGCACAACTGGTGCACGGCAGCCTTCGAGGGGTTCTTCGACTCCCTGGAGTATTTGATGGTCATGGCTGGTCCTCCTCACCTGGCACAGACAACTGATAACACCGGGCTCCGAGGCCCTGGGGCGGTCAAACACGCAAATTGATGCTATATAAATTCCTGGCACTTCCCATCACCAGGCAAATCCGTCCGAGTGGCCCTCAGCCAAAGGCGGCGCGGTTTCTCTGGATCCCTGTACATTGCAGCAATTCGAGTTCGAGCCGGAAATGCACCGCCAGAGACCGTCGGAGAATACAGTCCGACGTGTGTCCAAGCCTCCTGCTGTTGAATTAACGTTACTTAGAGAAGTTCAGTGGATGAACCTCCTATCCATATGCCACCAGACCAAAAAGCACCAGCCATGCTGTGCACCTGCATGCTCCCGGCACCCCTTGGCAAACAAAACTGCTTTCACCGCGCCGTGATTGAAGCTCTGGCAGGGAACTGTGACCTCTCACTGGTCGCCACCTACCTCGCAGCGTGGTTCCAAAGCTCTTCAGGCTTGGCTTGAGAGCGAGTTTCGGCGTCACGAGAAGCACAATATTAGGATGGAAGTGGAACTCGGTATTGACAGGAGCCCACAATCCGTCTTGATTTGTGCCTTCAAGCGGAGCTTGGCGAACTGCTTTCTGGTGAACTTCTTCGGCTTGACCTCCTGAACATCAAGTCCCCAAGCAAACATTAGCTGACCTCCATCAGAAGGATGGCACTGTGAAGCTGATGTGGACACGAAGCCCGTGAACCTCACGACACTGCAAGCACTGCGTCGCTGCCTCGTCTGCCTTCTCCACACCATCGAGGGGTTCTGACAGGATGAGCTCCACGTGGCACGGGCAGTTCCTGGGCAGAACGAGTTTTCCACATTGACCCCTGAGCCCTCAGATGTCGGGTCCCAAGGCCCCGGACATGTATGGGCCGATGCGGCCGTGAGCTCGGTAGGTTCGTCGGCGGCCCTGCTGCGCGGCGTTCACCTTTCACGGCTTCGAGCTTCAGACGGCAGAAATCCGCTGCTCAGAGCGGCGGCGGGGGCGGGTATGCAGCAGGTGAAACACTCTAAAAAGATAGCCGGCTCTGGCCGTGAAACGACTCAGCCGATTCTCTCTGGCCTGAGGCCTGGAAGGGCGCCCTGCCCTCCTGCGCCCTGCGCCCTGCCTGGACGTGCTCCACGACCAACTTCTCGGTCTCCAAGTTCTTGAACTCCGCGTTGGCCTCGGCATTCCTGCGCAGAGCCGAGCTGGGCTGAAACATTCGTCGATCCGGTGGTTGCTTCGTACGGAAGTCGACGAAGCCACTGGGAAGAAGGTGTTGCCTATGGGTTTCCGTCACATAAGATCCTCCAGGGCCTAGGGAAACTTGTGTTAGTCAGACCTCGGCTCTTTCGGCATCATCGTTCACAACCAAATTCCCGCCATGACAGCTGCGCAGGCCGTAAAAACAACTTACTTGAGCTCTGAACATGTATGTCACATCCACACCCCAAGCTAGACACTGCCCAACTCCAGACTTGTCCGTGTGACCGCACGCCTGAGCAACCCTAGAACGATCTTGGCCGACTTGACCGGCCAGCGGCCCTGGCAGTAAGGTGCGTGGTTGGGGTAATGCAGTGCTGCTTTAACCTCTGACTTTGTCCACCTTCAACCCAGGAGTTGCGTGCCGAGGCGGTTCACTGTCACTGTTGATCCCCGACAGCAAGAAGTGTAAAGGAATCAAGCAGATGCCTGGGTCATCTTGAACTCCTTGGCCTGCGGAGTTCGGCCTCAGGCATCTGGCATCTTTCATGCAGGGACACGAAAAAGCTTGAAGCCTGCACACTGGCCTTGTACGGTCGCTTCATGAACACTGTACTAAGCAAGTCTACCTTAAATGCCTTCAACCTCGAGGCCAGAACCCAGAACCTTCACAGCACCCTGTGGCAGCCGAAAATCAACTCCGATACATTTTGCCGTGCTTACCTCGCTGGGTGTGGGACCGATGCAACCTGTGTATTTGCGGAACGGGATGCACCTGCAGCCAAAGGTTTGCTGTTGCTACGACTACTACTACTGCTACTGCTACTACTACGACGACGACGACGACGACGACTACTACTACTACCGCCGCTACTACTGCTGCTACTCCTACTCCAATTCCTACTCTTGCTGCTGCTGCTACTGCTACTGATACTGCTACTACGAGTACTAGTGCTACTACTACTTCTACTCCTCCTCCTCCTGCCGCGACTGCCACTGCTACTGCTGCTCCTGCTGCTGCTACTACTGCTGCTGCCGCTGCTACTACTACTAATAATAATAATAATTACTACTACTACCACTACCACTAC